AGGTAAGACACCAGCTAACACAGATTTAAGATACTCATTCAAGCTAATAGTATCCACTATCCAATTGCATGTAAAAGTACAGATCTATACTATAAACAGCATCTGTTTTCTATGTGTAAAGTTTACAGCTATGTGGTCTCTTCAGAGCTCAGCTCAGGTTTCAAGTACAGCTGAGATTTAGTGCCTTTTATAGATTGCAGAATTACTAATGCTTACCAATGTGAAGACAGTGAAATAAACCTTACTTAAAAATTAGCATCTAATTTTATACGAAAAACAAATTTCAGAAAAAAATGTTGGTGAATTGCTTTTTTAAAAAATCAAATTATTTCAAAAAAACCCTGCAAAACAAAGTAGTTTAAAGGGCTAGTAGTGACAGATAAAAATTGTGGCAGATAAGGTGATGCAAAATATTGTTAGGATTAGTTGTGTTACAAATGAGGAAATTAGTATGACAGTTTCAGAATCTTCAAGTTTGATATTCCAAGAAAGCAGAGGAACTTGCTTATGGCCCTTAAATGTTCCTTTGCATTTTGAATTCTCCCTCTTAAAAACCAAACCACCAAACCCACACTATTTTTCCCCCTTCTTTCTGTCTGCTGATATTTCTAATTTTTAAGGATTTGAGACAAATGAAAACAAACAAAACAAAGATCTTGCCCTTGATATCTAGTCCATATAATCTGTTCTGCAATACTTCAAATATGCATTTATTTGTACTCATAAGAGTGAGTCAGTAGGACTGGTCAAGACAGGAGGGTTTGTCTGACCACACAAGGAAGAAAAGGGATCGTTAAGCAACTTTTTGCCTTACACAGTGTCTTGTTCCAGTGTCTTGTTTGGTAATATTACCAAATAACTTGCACAATAATTAGCGTACTTCTACTCTGTTTTGATATTTTATTTGTGTACAGAATTATTTATGAAGCAACAGGGTCAACATATGAGTATTTCAGTAGGTACATTAGTTTCTTGAGTTTTTTATTCCAATGGAGAAAAAAAAGGCTTTCTAGTCATGCTATCTTTCAGCCTTTATCAGTTTTTAGTATCATAATTAAATTTCAAGTGTAGTTTGAATATCATTCAGTTATCTCAAAGATCATTCATATTCTTGCAGCTGCAAGACTACCTGAATGAGAAACAGGACCAATAGGAGCCAGTATAAGTTCAGATATTATTAGAAGCAGGGAGTCTACACTGAAGGAGAGGCACCCCCATGAAAAACTAAAATTCCCAGCTGCAGGAAAAGAAAAAAAAAAAAAAAATTAAAGACCATACTGTGTCTGTAAGACAAGATACCTTTAGTAATGGCTTTCAGTTTCCTACTGAGATAATCTTCTAAAAGGTTTTAAAATTAAATGTTTTAATTTCAATGTATAATCTAACAATACCACTCGTTTGTTTTTTATTTTATCAGATCATCCTGGAAAGGGCTTCCAGAATTGACCAATGAAAATGGACAGTATTGCCCTTTTAGCTGTGAAACTCAGGCCTGGTCGATTGGTGTTATCCTTGAAATCCTTTATGACTTGTAAAAGTTTATTTTGATTCATTTGATGAAACTTCTGTGGTCTTATTATTGGGCATAAATGAACACTTGGCATATACTGCACAGGAAATGTCCTGTTCTGCACAATCACTTAATCCATGTCCTGACTTTCAAAGATGCTGAATGCCAGCAGCTTCTATGCCCTATAACTGGGGGGGGCTTGGAGAGCTTGTTTTTTGTAAATCAGGCCATGACAATAAAATAAAACTGCAGCGCACACTTAATGCAGAAGCTTTTAGTAAGGAGCAATTTTAAGAACATGCACAAACTTAATTTTAAGTAGCACAGGTTTTTTTTAGACTTTTCAAATCCAAATCTTAATGTAACAAAGTGGCTCTTTCGTGAGCTGAAAATAAGTAGCATAGCTCTTATGTTTTTGGTTTTTTTTTTTTTCCTCTGTCTCTTTGAGAGTAAATGGATGTTTTGCAAATGCATGCTTAAAGAGGAGTAGATTAACCTATACCTTTCTGAGTTCGGTATGCTTTGTGCTGTAGCGGCATACGTTAATGAAGGCATAATACGTTGTCTCTCTGAACTGTATTATGGGTTTGGGATTTTTTGGCATGTGTTCAGTTGAAAAATCCATTAAGCAACCACAGAAATAAAGTGTGTGAATACTGTAATAAACCAACCTTTGAGAGTTAACTTAAGCAATAATGAGGTAATATCCCATGCTAGTCCATTTTTAAATTTAAGTACTGTGGGCCATTCAGGAAACCTATTTCTTCATTTAAATCTGTTTTTCACCATGAGGAATTAGTGAGAAACATGTGCGTGTGCATACAGTGCACAGCTTATATGTTAGGGGAGGCCAAAGATAGAGAAGTCAGTGTGCTTGACTGCTTAATTCAAATAATTTATTGAAATGGTATGATCACCTCAGCCCTTTATTCTTAGGAAAATCTATTGAAGCAGGTGGAAACACTTAGCATTAGTGGGAAGAGATATTAGCCTACCACCAGAGAAGAGAAGATGAGGTTTCTAGGCCTTTTGAAATTGCACCAATAAGAATAAGCATGCTACCTCTGTGCTGTTCGTTTGGTACAGCATCCCATGAACATGATGCAAAACACGTATGTTCTTTCATATTTGGATGCCTGTGTGTCCTTCCTGAGTTCAGTTCAGTGTTCCCAAACTGAAGGGTGGTTGACAGAAGTGCAGTTGTTAATTCTCATCTCTCTATTCATGCTGTTTTTCCATCTTGGTACCACAAACAGGGAGAGAGTGAGGCTGACAATGCTTCCCACACCGTGGCAGGGGGGGAAGCAAAACTGATACTGCATTTCTTAATGTTAGACATCATATGAAAAAATATGCACAGGATGTAATTATAATGCACTAATAACACATAGGTCAAGATTTTATTGTATCTGTATTTCAAAGTTTCTGTACCCTGTCTAAAGTACGGGGCAAGTGTGCTGTTCTAGGAGGTGTGTTACAGGTAGATACGTTTAAGGGCAAGGTAATAAGCAGAAGACAGATGAATTGTAAGAAGCAGATATAGTCACACTGTTAACTTGAAAGATTAATAAATATTTTAACTCCTTTGAAGTACTTAGAAGTTATGATTAGGGAAGGTCTATGTTGTACCTCAACTTTTGAGCTGCTGCAGTACACGGGCTGGGAAATTTTTATTTTCTTGACACAATGAATGAGAGATGTCATTTGATCAAACATGTTACTGAAATGTCAACCACAGATTATTTTTTTTTATTGTGCAAGAGGCATATGAAGTATTTTTCATAATGTACGCATATTTCCAAAAATCTTTATAATTATATTGAGGTTTATGTCCTACTGTATCACTGGCTTTTTACTGTTTTCCTAAATAATTATTTCACATTTATTATTTCAAGATATGTTTTATAGCTCCTATGGTTTAGGAAGCAGGAACAATACAGCAGGATAAATTGTTCTTGCTCAATGAAACTTTTTAAAAATTGAAGGTGGAGCTTAAGAGCTGTGACTGTTGAAAAAAATTTCCACAGGGTGTCAAATTATATACATTGGCAATAACACTCTTTCAGTGTTGGAAAAAAAAAAAAAAAACAGCACAAAACTGTTGTGAAATTCATCAAAGCCTTCCTGTATTGTTAGAGATGACTTTCCACTATTTTGCAAACTGCACTGCAGATAGAGGCTTGCATATTTGTCACTGCTAGTTTTTTTTCTAATTTAATAGTAAAATTTTATAGATAAATCACCACTGTGTACACAAATATGTATGTTATGGAACTTTTAAACATGCCCGTTTATAATGTTGCTTCTGCACTCATTAGTTGAGCATAGTTTTAGTGACAATAAATAGGAAAAATATGTATCATTGGTTGACTTTGCTGTTAAGTAGCAACAAAAATAAGATTTGAGGTTATAACTGTTGGGAAGGGTTGGGGGGGTTATTGGTTTGAGGTGGGGGGGGTTTGGTTTTTAACCACAAAGCTACTCAACATTCTGTCAAGCCAGACAATTTAAAAATGAAGAGGGAAGTGAACAATGTTAAATATAACACTGACATGAGCTGGTGTTCACCTACATAAATTCTGTATGATTATCCTCTAGAAAGAGCTGACATGTTGTCTGATCTTGAACTCTATTTTTATTCATTAATAACTTCTGTATTATACACTCAGTAACTTCTAGTAATGCAAACTTATAATCAGTAAAATGTTTTAGAAATAAACAAAAGAACATAGTAAGAACAGTTAATCCATTGTGTTCCAGTTGGTGTTTCTTGAGCTATATGGTATTGAGACATCTTTATTTCCTTCCTCCCAATGGAAATAATTTTCACTGTTACCAGTATTTGTACAGTTAACAATCTTTGAATCTGTCAAGAGCTATTAACTTGAGAATTCAAGTGAAATAACCTATCATTCTGACACTGCATGTTGTAATGTAAAATGGAAAGATGAGTTTTACATGTCTGTCTAGCACGGCAGCAGCTGATTTTAGAAAATGTCATTATTCATTTATTTCTGAAATGCACAAAATAAAATTATTTCATTCAGACAGTTAACTTTTCATGTGGTTGTTTTGGAAAAAGGCCAACTATTAGAAATGATGCTGTTTGTTCAGTTGTTGGCAATACTGCACGCATCTGAGAGATCAAGCAGCCAAACTGAGGAATAAATAGATGAAGTTTTAGGGGTGACCAGGCAGGTTTCTGCTTTTGAGATTGCAGACAGCAGTTTGGGAAACATCTTTAGTTAGGAAATCTGAGATCTGCCTGTCTTGGGGTTTTACTGTAGGCCACCCTGGAGAGGCAGCTAATCTCATCACCTGAGAAGGGCTGCCCCCCCAGCTGGCTGCCCCGCGGCCTGAGGGGCTCCCGCGGCCTCAGCGCCTGCCTGAGAGCCCGCCCGGCACCGGGAAAGGTGAGGGGCCGCCGAGAGGAGCCGGAGCAGGGGGCCGCGGGCTGCCTGAGGGGCAGGAGTGCCGCCTCTGAGGCGGGATGGCGCCATCGGTGTGCGGTGAGCCTCCGGGCCGGCTCGGGGAGGTGAGGTGGAGGGCGGGGCGGAGGGCGGGGAGCTGTGCCACAGGGCTGGCCCGCGCCTCGAGGGGCGGCCTGCATGGGCCTGCCAGTGGGTGACAGGTTGGTGGAGATGCAATTAATCATAACCGCGTGCTCAAACTAGCCTTTAACTGCGTCTGGCGTTTACTGCGGCTGCTGTGTAGCTGTGCGTTAGTGAACTTTTGAAGGGTTATTTGGGTTACCTTCCCGAGTAAAAGTCCCTTTGCAGGCCCAGCCCTTGTATCTTCCCCTCTAGCCACAGGGTTCCGCAGCACCTCATCATTCAGCAGCAACGACTGGCAAAACACAATCCTGCTGGAGCCTAATGAGCTAAGTCATTAGGAGAAGCCTCTAATGAAACTGTGCAAGTTGTTCAACACTGGCAGCAGGTGCAGCACAGTTTGATTATAGGCAAGTGCCTGTGCTTGCCTGTCAGGAAAACAGGTGAAACTTGCCCTGATTGACAGAAAAATATTTGTTTTAATGTGCTTGTAAACAGAGAGAAGGAAAATGGATTCCCCTGTTGGTGTTTGGTTTGTTGTGCAAACTTTGGAGCTTATAGAATCACAGAATTGCCTAAGTTGGAAGGAACCTTTCACCTCTCATTGAGTCCAACCATCAACCTAACATTGACAAAAACCATCACTAAACTGTATCACTAAGCTCTATGTCTACCTGTCTTTTAAATGCATCCAGGGGTGGACTCAACCACTTCCTTCAGCAGCCTGTTCCAATGAGGGAGAGCTCAACCCTTAGAGTTATTCACAGTCTTTGTGCTTGGTACTTCACAGAAGGTGCTTGCTAAATTAAAGCAGAGGCTTCCCAGTACTGAGTTTTGCCTAAAAGTGCGGCTGTCCGAGTGGAGCAACATCCATTTAAAATGAGGAAATTGAATGTTGATTTTGGAGCATGAGCATCATGTAAAATCCAGAACAAGGTGCAATTTACTTGTTACTTGTTTTGGTAATCACTGTTTCTCACAGGATCAAATTCCAAAGCAGAATTACCTTGTTGTTACCAGTTGTGGTGGTAGGAAAATGAACCTGAGAGCAATATAGAAAGAAAAATGTGATCCTGTTAGTCAGGTGGTACTATTAGCCATCTGTGCTCTTGAGTTTCTGTAGGAACTTGCATATTCCTGTTGCTTGTGATGTGTTTGTCATTGTGCGTGGCCTCCTTGAATCCATTTCTTTCAGAAATCTTTCTCTCTCCATGGTATGTCTGTGCTATGTACAACCTTTCATCCACAGTTTCTGTTTGCCCTGTTTAATAATCTCTGAGTACTGTATGAAGGAAGTTTGGTATTACTGACTACATTTGACAAATAGTAAAATTGTTTACCTCAAGTCACGTAAGATGTAGTTTATGAGACCCAGGAGCACTTCCCGTCTCTGTGTCCATGTGTGGGTCACAGCAATATCTCAGTCCAACTTCAGACGGAGACACCGTTTTCCCTGTAATGCCTTTTTGCAATGGGAATGAAAGCAGGCCACAAAAGAAGAGAATTGTGCTGCAGCCTGGCAAGGGTGTTAAACTGGATGATCTGAGTTCCAGTACTAATAGAGGTAAGTTCCTCTTATTAAATTTGCTAACAAACGTGGGATTCTATCCTTCTGAGTTCTAAGTCTTTTAGAAAATAAACTGGAGCCTGATTTTGTGTAGTGATGAGAAACGTAAGATGATGTCTCCTAATCAGTTCTAAAGGAAGAAAGATATTTGCAGTCACTTAGGACTGACACACTTGTAAGTACAGTTATTTTAAAGCATGATGCTCCAAAGCGAGGTTAAATGATAATAGTGCAAGTGTGGGGGGTTTAGGGTGTTTTTTAGAGTTACAATCATAGAAAAATTCAGGAAAGCTGAAAGATTTATTTCTTGCAAATGACATCATTCTACAAACTGAACAATGTGGGTTTTTGTGGGATACATTCAGGAGCTGCTTTTTAAAATTGTTTGTAAATTTTCTTACAGCCATTCTCGATAAGAATCTTACATACAGTCTAGACCTGGAGAGTGGTGTCTGCTCTAATAATAGGCAATGAAAAATTGGTTCCAAATGGAAAAGTAAGGCTCACAACTGCTTGCATAACACCCTGAAGGCTAGCAAAATAATTTTGTCTTGGCAAGAGCAGTCATTGAAGGGCATTAGTAGGTTAACTATTGTTGAGATGGTTTGTAGTATTATGCTTAAGGAGAGTTGCAAGTAGAATTTTGAAACAAGTTTGGTATATAAATTTTGTAGGTGTGAATGATTGATTTAAACACCATGGATGACATATTAGAAAGGATCTTACCTGAATGTATGGTAACCTAGAGGCTAGCACTGTGGGCTGGCTGGGGGTAAACATCTCAGTGGAAAGTTGAGGATGATAGATCAGGTAAGAATAATGCAACTTATAATAGCTGAAAAATTAACATTTGCAGCTTCATAGCAGAGGGTGGCGCCAGTTCGCCTCCTTCCCTTGTTCAAGTTCATGTTAAGACAAGGCTGGGAGATTGAGTTGCCTGGTTCTTCCTTCTGAGAAAGTCTATTTCAGTATGAACACACTCTCTTGTCTGTGTTCTAATTCCTGAAGTCTCCGTTCACACAGGTCAAAACAGTAATAATTGGTTTAGATGTTTAGATTATGTTTTGGTAACATATTCCCATGTAGAGGAAGAGAAAAGGAATATATCTTTGACAATTTGATGGCTTAAAGTGATAACTGAATCTAATGAGTAGATTTCAGTATTAAAAAGTTCAGGAGTCTGTTTATCTGTTTTATTGCAAAGTTCAAGGATCTATTTATCTCTAAAGAATGGGAAGTGCTAGGATGTGAAACCAGGTGATGTTAGGCATTTTTTATTATTTGTGTTGTAGTTCATCTAATGATTCTGTAATTACTTGTTTTTATATCTGTTTCTTTATAAGTTTTGTTTATGTACAAATAAACTTAATGTGAAAACTGAAAATAGTTCTGCCTGGGCAGTCTTTCACTATAACTGTGGATATTTTAACCTAAGTATTTTTAAATGGCATTCAGTTTGCACACAGCATTTTTCTGGGACAATCAATTGCAAACGATGAGGCTAAAAATGCTGAAACTGTAATTAAAAATTAATAATTTGGGGCTCAGGAAAACTGTGCAGTGCTTAGATTTAGTCGCAGAGGTTGTGTTGAACGCCCTTGTTCTCACAGAGTATGAAAGATTTGTAGACCTGAGATTTATGTTGTGATATTGTTGGTTAAACATAATTGTAAGGCTGTACTCTAGGAATGAAAGCCAGTAATGGACAAGTCTAGATAAGAATACAAGCAGTAGGAAGGAATCTAGATGGACTCAGGCACTGAGACATGGTAAGAAAAAAGAATAAAAAGAGCAATATGAAATGATAGCTCATTTTAAGTGGCTCAGAACAGCTTTATATTAAATACAATTACAAAAGAAAAAATATGGAGACTGTAGCTGACAAAATCCAAGTGCACCTGTCCTAGAGCTTTAAGTTCTAGTCATCAGCTTTACATGATTTTAACAGGCTACATTTTCTAGCAGTTATTCCAGTTGCTGAAGGTGGGTAGGAACATCACATTTTCCAGATAATTTTGTAATTTGTAAAGCCTATAATCAGACCTACTTATGACAGCTATTGAAGAGGTGGCTTTGTTTTCTTGTAATGGCTGACTGGCCAGTACTGCTCCAGGTCTCTCCCCAGGCCTCTGAGGGCCATTTTGATGGCCTTGGTATAGTTAGGTTACTCCAGAGCTTTTCCCAAGGCCTCCGGGTGCCATTCAGTTAAATTTAAGCACCAGATTCTGCTATCAGTTGGATCACAGTAAATATAGGCTAATTTAATTTCCATGTCTTGGGTAATTGCAGATTTACTTTTGCATGATTTTGGCTTTAGACAGTTTATACACCTTTACAAACAGCAGTTAAAAGTAGAAATCAGAAGTATTTATGTTATAAACTATTGTTTGTTCCAGGGTAGGGAACAATAGGTTCTTTAAAAGTCATACATTAGGGGTTTTTTTGGCTTCTATAAAATATAAAGTCAGTACCTTTGTGTGAATCTAACACAACAGACAGAATTCTCTTGTAGTCCCAAAAAGCTAATAGAATATTGTACTTTGGATTTATCGAATTGGAGAAGACATCTGCAAAAATGTTAAAAGCAAATAAAAGCTAGTTGATAACAGGGTATATGTGTTAGTAGGAGTAAACAGATGTTCATCTGATTATTTGTCATGGTTTCAAAACTGACCTTTGCACAAAAATTCCATGAAAACATGAAGGGTTTAGAGGTTTTGTTCTTGTGTTGTTATACAATGGTTTAGGTTGGAAGGGACCTTAAAGGTCATCTAATTCCAACCCCCCTGCCATGGGCAGGGACACCTCCTGCTAGATCAGGTTGCTCAAAGCCCCATCCAGCCTGGTCTTGAACACTTCCAGGGATGAGGCCTTATCAACTTCCCTGGGCAACCTGTTCCAGTGTCTCACCACCCTCATAGTGAAAAATTTCTTCCTGATATCCAATCTAAATCTACCCTTTTCCAGTTTGAAGCCATTACCCCTCATCCTATCACTACATGCCCTTGTAAAAAGTCCCTCTCCAGCTTTCTTGTAGGTCCCCTTTAGGTACTGGAATGCTGCTATAAGGTGTCCCCGGAGCCTTCTCTTCTCCAGGCTGAACAACCCCAACTCTTTCAGCCTGTGCTCATAGCATAGGTTCTCCAACCCTCTGATCATATTTGTGGCCCTCTTGGACCCATTCCAATAGGTCCATGTCCTTCTTATGTTGAGGACTCCAGAGTTGGACCCAGTACTCCAGGTGGGGTGTCACGAGAGCAGAGTAGAGGGGCAGAGTCATTTCTCTCAACCTGCTGGCCATGCTTCTTTTTATGCAGCCCAGGATTTGGTTGGTTTTCTGGGCCACGAACACAGATTGGCAGCTCATGTTGAGCTTATCCACCAGCAGAATCACATCCCTGTCCCTCAGGGTGGCTCTCAGTCCATTCTCCACCCAATCTGTATTTGTGCTTGGGATTGCCCCAACCCATGTGCAGGACCTTGCACTTGGCCTGATTGAACTTAATGAGGTTGACACAGGCCAACCTATCAAGCCTGTCCACGTCCCTCCAGTGTGTTGACTGCTGCACATAGCTTGGTGTTGTCAGCAAACTTTTTGAGGATGCACTCAATCCCAACATCCATGTCACCAACAAAGATGTTTGTTAAACAGCACCAGTCCCAGTAGCAATCCCTGAGGGATACCACGTGTCACTGCTCACCACTTGGACATTGAGCTGTTGACCACAATTCTTTGAGTACAACCATTAGAAAGTTTTGTTCTGTCTGCACTGGAAAACTGACTACAGAAGCTTGAAAGTTATTATTCAAAAAGTAAACGTTTATTAGTTTAGTAGCTGAGATAAGAAGCCTTCAATCAGGTAATTAAACCTTTCTTCCAAATTTCAGCACATACTTTTTTATCAGTGATGAAGTAATTGTTCTAAACTGAATGTTGCTGTTAAGTGTCATCTTACTTCCTATTCTTCTCCCTCATTTCATTTAACATAAAAGGCCCCATTTAATTGTACAGGGTAGGTGTTTCTATATCTGCTGCCAGAGTTCAAATTATAAAGCACGTAATTATTTGTTGAGAGGGAGAGCCACAGTATTGCTGTCAGTATTTTTTAATCTCTTGGAGCCTCTGTGTTTCAGTCCATGCTTCGATGCTTTATTTTTGACTTAAGACTGATTGTCTGAAGAGCAACCTACTGCTTGGTGGTTAGCGAATCCTTCAAGAAAGTCAGAGATGTGGTGATGGTTAAGGGCACTGAATGGGAGAAGGACTTCTATAAAGGCACCAAAGAGGGATAAGGAGGATGTTTCCTCAGCTGTGGAGTGTTTCAAAGGGAGGAAGCAGGAAAGAGGAAGTTCTGGTGTCTTGTGCAGCTGCATGCTGTAGTACATAAAAATGATGGAGAGCGGGAAGCTGCAGTTTAATATTAGTCTGGGCCTACTGGATGGTCTGTCTGGCCCTGTATTTCAGTGGAGGGCAAAAGGAGGAAGCTGTTCAGAGTGGGCAAGATTCTTTAAAAGACATAGATGCACAGCAGAGCAAGGAATCGGAAACACTGCCAACGTTCTTCTTTTTTTCTTCAAATTTTGTTTTGACATTTTTCAAATAAATGAAAATATTTTCTAGGTTGTACCATTTGCATTGATTTTTCATGGTCCTCTTCTGAAAAAATGATCAAATGTGATTTGAGAGCAACACAGTTTCTGTTAGACTAACAAGAATTCTATTTATAATTATTTTCCCACTACAAAACTTTTCACCAGGTAGATTTTGACAAGTAAATTAGTTTTTATTATTTAACTTTTCAGCTGTATCCATTTTGGATTCTGTAATCCTGTATAATATCACTGAAATTATTAAACTGAGATGACTTAAACTACCTGTATTAATGTTGCATTAAAGTAACGTTTATTGTTGCTTTTATTTTATTTTTTAATAGATTAATTCTGAGATGAGACAACTGAATGCAAAATGTGGGGACTCGGGGTACAGTTTATGACAA